TCTCATAAGACTTCCATGTAGACCACAAGTTTCTGTAATAAGGCTGTGTCTAAATCATCAGGGAATTTGTGACTATGGCTTTGACCACTGGCCTGTTGAAGTGAATAGCCGTAGTCGTATAAATAATGCTCATAAAATCATTATCATTGCAGACTTGGTTCAGTATAGACGAACCCAGGCACATGATCACTGTACACTCATGAGGCCCCCTTCAATGGAGAAACCATGACTATGCATGCTATTGTACACTGCAACAGCTCCGTGACAGAATATCTGACCAACAGCTAGCACAGTGCATTCGCCATTGAGGGGGGCCTTCGTGATAGAAGTGGGCGTGCAAGATTGGTGTACATATGGGCCTATCACATATACATGTAGATACTAAGATAGTATAGTCGGACTCCCTATTATCGCGGCATCCCTATTATCGCGGCATGGGAAATTTCTCTTTTTACAGTGTCAAAACTCCTTCAAGTGGCGATTTTTATCCAGTTCACCAGTCATCAAGGATTTTCTACCGAGTTGTATAAAAAGGACGATTAAAAAATGTTGTGTCTTTCGGGACTTTTAACGATTTTAATAAATATTAACGTTTTCCAAAACTTGCAAAATTTTCCCTCACCGTGTCTGCTAAAAGGTACCGTTAATATTTTAACATAAATCTTTAATTGCGCTCTGTCCATGAAAGTTCCATTGTCTGGTTCCCATTCTTCAGCTGCAAATGTAAAATGAAGTCGAACGACGATATTTGCAGCGCGAAATCGTAACAACTTTTACGGGATCAAAATAAGCACCGCGCCTTAGCGAAAATAAAACGGCACACCGTGTAAAGTGAATGGCGCCCTCAATCGCCGATCAGTAGACTTGCCTCAGGGATTTGTGTTCTCCTTTCGGGGGAAGGGCAGGGTCTTAAGAAATCATCCTGCAGACATTTTGTCTTTAATCAACTTGAACGTTACAGGGAAAATATCAGACTTTATTCAGGGGGTGTTTTGGTAAAAAATAAACTATGAACAAAAAAGTTGGGATCGTTATAAAAACCACTTCCCGCATACCGCGATAATAGGGAGTCCACCTCCGTTCGCACACGCCGCGCATGTCTATTTTCACAGACATCGTACACGGAATAAACCACACCACCCGTCAGATTTTTTTATATTAATTTAAAAAGGAAGAGTTATACTACACATAAGACAGGGCAATTCTGGAAGGTTAGTGGGCAATCTCTATTCCGAACGAGAAACGTGATAAGTACCGCGATAATACGGCGTTCCATACTACCGTGTCCTGTGCACAGCATGGACATGCGGGTTGTCTATAGTATTGGGTCTGTGTGAGAGCTTTAGAGGGCACTACACAAAATGCTTATGAATGGGAACAAAATGAGGGCACCTTGATTTTGTTTCTACACCAATAAAAATGGGGGAAAAACTGAAAAGTTGATTGAGCAATATATCTGGATTCAATATGGTTTGCACTGATTTATGCACTGTAGTACTGGTATGTAACACCTGCCAGACAGGTTTACTCATTGTTAATATGTAGAGACAGGTGTCTAATAACGATGCCCTCACTAAATGTCCCCTGATACATGGCCTACATAGCATGAATTGTTACCTGTACCTAGATCTGTCAAAGCGGTGAGGTGACACAGGTTGTGAAAAGAAACATTAACGAGCATAGAAATATGGTAATACCTGGGGCATGGTATGCATTACATTCACAATATGAAATACTATGTATAGTACATGTGCGGTATATGGGTCAGTTCATGCTGCATGTTATGTCTAACATAAAGAGAAGTAAAGTTCGTCACTGAAAAACAATCAGTTTCATTGTGAAATTAACCACTAACTTCAAAGTTTTCCCAAAGTCTTACACACATCAAAATACGAAAAAGGCACTGTTTTTTTCTTCTGAAACTAAGATTTAAATGTGTGAAGGAAAGATTCAAACAATAATTTTGTCTTTTAGTAATTTATCGCAACTTAGAACAGGGAAGAATCTCTCCTTGTTCCCCCACCAACAAATTATATCTAGTTTCCGGTGCAAACGATAGTGAAGGTGGCCAGAAATGGTCTGTAGAATAAAAGAAATGAAATTCTCCCTCCCACAAAAAAGCCGGTATAATTATGAAGATGTATTTTCTACTTTTTTCTCAATCTACAGAAGAGAAGGACCAAGGATTCCCTGCTATGAAACCTACAGTCCACTGCTGAAGAATTTCCAGACATGAGGAACATGCTGTAGGAACATGCTGTAGCCTTGGTGATCCATAGGTCTTAAACATGTCACACTCTAAGCCTTCATTGTCAAATTTGTTTTTAGAGCCAGCAGGTAAATCTTTAGGGTAACTAGCCCGATGATTGTGTAAGGTCTTCTTGGTGAACTAAGGACCTGTCAAGACTAGACCAGCCTTCCCTAAATGACACAAGCCCGAGGGTTGATTTTCAAATTTCAAGATTACTAGGTCAGGAAAAATATTCCCAAGACCTACATCTACATGTATGTCAATAAACGCTATCCTGAAAAGGAGAGAAAAATTCAAGTTGACACTTCTCTTGGGGCCCATCTCAGAGACTATACGATCCCAACCCTTAAAAAACCAACAAATTCAATCTAAGGGCAATTTCTTACGATTTTGGTGTTTTTTTTTAAAATCCTGGCAGCTACATGTAGGCCCTAACTCAAGATCTTTTGGTAAAACCTTTTTGAATAGTGGCCTTCATATTTGTAATATTAGATTCTGCTGGATTCAGGGAGTAACAAGTAAAGTAACCTTAACACAATTAACAACAGGGTTACGAATCTGTGGTACAAGGGCATTTTGCCCATGCGGACGAATCTTGTTAGCTGACTGATATGTACAAGCTCAAGCTATAAAGTGGCTGGAGTTGTAGATATTGGGAATTGCGATTAAATTAATCTAATTATCGTATGGCCTCTTCCAAATGCTCTGTAGGGCTTGACCAATGAGATTATAATCGGCAGTGAAAGACCACCAGACCGGTCTCAGAAACTGTCACCAAATAATCCTGGCGGTCTAATGGGTATTCAGAGCCTCGAAGGCTCGACATATTTTGATCCAGGTTGGTCCAATTTGATCTTCTCTGTCCGTGGGACTCCAAAATCATCTGAAAATGAAGCAGATTTGTTCTCAAAAATCCTGAGGTGTGTTCCCTGAAAAAATTTGACAAGAGATGTCAGTTTTGATCTAAACAAGTGCATGAAGAAAGCTCTCCCTGGTGACAGTAAGTGGATTCCGTTCCAGAAAAATGATGGCTGCAGATATCGAGGTTGAAGCACAGAACCTACATCGGTGTTTGAGGCTTACCAAATTTAACTGTACATGTAGTCTTAGTTCAGGGATGGATTTGGATTTAAAAAAAACATGTTTTCCCTAATGTATGTAGCCTGTCCTGATGCTTGGTAAGCATGGTCGAGTGGTAGGATGTCCTGTATTCAAGCTAATGCTAGCGTGAGGGATGCTCAGAATTTCTTGGGTTCGGGTGCCTAAATTCCCAAAATTGGTTTTGAAACCCTAACCCTCTTCAATCTTCCAAAATCGTCCTGCCGGTTTTGGATGATTTTAGAGGATTGAGGATGAATGGCAAAGATGTATCGCTTTTTTTGTGGAGGATGCATGACATCAATCCAGTAGGCCATATCCTGCATTGGTTATGTTCAGCCATGCATAGATCAGCCCTGTGTTTTTCTCATATTTCATCCGCACTGCTTCTAAACGCCATTCGCACTGCCTCAAACCATAACAGTAATTGGCAGAGGATTTTGGAGGATTGAGGCAGTGGTCACCCTCCACAGACAAAATTCAAGAAAAAACGGATGATTTTGGAGGATTGAGGCTGAATCAATTTTTTTCTTGGTGGCAATTGGAGGATTTTGCAGGATTGAGGTTGCATCCTAGCCAGAGGGCCTAGGGGGTTAGGTTATCGATATTGCCCTCAGTACCACATGGTGGATTGACCAAACTGTCCAGGCTTTGGGAATAACTGCATTAGGGGAAAACAATTCCAATCCAGTCTTGGAACAAGGCCATCCCAACCTTTCAGAAAAACTTGGGCCCTGAGGTCAATACATAAATGTACAATGTACATGGGTCTAGCATTGAAAAGCTGTATGGGAGTTTTGTGTAACACCATTTACAGGGTTTGATACCATACATGGACCCCATGCACCTCCCATAGGGGGTACTACCATTATGCATTCACCTGTCACTCACACCAGACTAGCACTTAATGACTACACCATGCATGGGGTCCTGTCATATCACAGGGCAAAGTGATAATTGCGTTCAGCACCCTCTCCCCCCCCCAACCCAAACAGGGTAATAAAAGTCACACATTCCATGGGCTTGTTTTGTTGGAGGAGATTATTCGGAATTGAGGACACTCAGGACACACAAAAACAACCCAATTCAAAAAGTGGATGTCGAATATAAGCAGTGTAGGTCAGATGTATTATGATGTCTTAATTTGTTTAGACAGAGTGGGTTCAGGTTAGAAATACACATGTACAGCTGCACTGAACTGTTGTTAATGTAGAGATACAATTGTTTTGAAAGAAAAATAGACCCTTTTCCATTTATACAGTGGTTCTAACTTACTATATTTGATGTTTCTCTTGCATACTGGAGAATACACTTCCTACTAAAACAAAATTGTAAATACTGTGAGATGTCAAATCCAATGCCACTTGCCACCAGTCTGACAGATATAGCCCATAAAGTTTCAATGACTATATTTATTACAAAAATTAGAGGAAGTAATATAGCACCAAGTTATACAGTGTAATACAATGTTGTACACATTAATACAATGTAACACAATGTATTACTGACACAATGTATAATAAGTAATACAACTATGCCAAGTACATGGCAAAGTGATCCACTAATACAATATTGCATTTCAAATAATGAGCAGGCATTACCCAACTTGGAAAATACTAAGTATCAATTCATCAATTCGTCATCTAGAGTTTTGAAAATCAAATCTTGAACCGGGCTGGCCCTCGCCCAGGCACCAATACTCATCATTGCAGCCCGGGAGTAAATTGATATTGCTGCAAGCATCTTTGGCATGGAGATAACGGGGAGACGTTTTTTTTTCTTCTTCTTCGTCTTAACGATGAGTAAGGCAGCTAAACTTCGCGGACTATGCCTGGAATCTCCGGCCAAATCATTTTCATAAGAAGGTCGAGTTGGTGATTGGGGCGCTGGAAGGACTCAGCTGTCATTTTCAGAAATTAAAGGGCCATGAAAAAAATACGGTTGGCTGGTAAACAGAGAATTTCGCCCGGATGAAGTGCAAATAAAGTGATATAAAAACAACAAGTTTTGTATTTTAATCTTCCGTGCTTTTAGTGTTTTTTTGTTGTTTGTGTCTTTTGATGGTCAGGAAGAACTCAATATACACTGTGTTTTAAGAAATTCTTGGCAAAGCCATGATGCTGATAAACCAACACAGGATTTCAAATGCAGGTTTTGAATAATTCCAATTTCATGTAGTGACTGCATTTTATTGATAGAATCCTCTGAATGACGACAGCACAAAACGGGTAGAGTTATGCATAGGCCTATATTTAAGCAGATGCATGATAAGAACAATTTATACTTGAAAGAATGGTTTCTGCAAACAGTCTGAAAAAATACCAAATCCTGAAATCACAAACGTCACAGGCATGGGGCTTTGTCTGCGTGCCACACCCGGTGCAACTGGCACAGGTACAATCATCAAGGTTCAAAGGTGAAAGAAAAGAATGCCAAGTTTACATTCCACTCAATTTTCAGACATTTTTTTAATCCAGAAAACATAAGTTTTTTTGCTTCAACTCTGATATTTCTAACCCTAGGTTTACGGACGGTATTGATGGACAGCTTTCTAGATCAACTAATATATTCCAATACTGTGCAATTAACTGAGGGCATGTTCTTTGTTCTAAACAGAACTTAGAGAGTTTAGTTTAGATGATGTCTTTGGCACTTTGGATAACACCATCAAAATACTGCAAATTCTAATGGTGGATTATAGTACTGGATGGAAGGATAGTTGGGATTAAAAGAAATTTAACATTTTTATGGACCTGAGTTATTCCTAAAAGCTACAAAAACAAAACTCTTATTTCACGGTAAAATCATATATTCAAGTCTCTGATTTCAGAATCTTGAAGCAGAATCTTGAAATAGATTACCTCTGTTTTTGGATCAAAGTTGAATATCAATATGTCATCTTTAAACAAATGAAAAACCATAAGTCAGCTGTTTTTTTTATGGAAGCGACCAATGCCCTGGATTCACCGGTGAGTTGGCTCTGTGCCCTGCCCTGCTGATGAACCGGTGAGCGCCGCATTTCTCCCAGATCAGACCGTCTGGCCATTTCTGCTCATTGAACCCGTGTTGGCGTCCCTCGCACGCACACAGCTGGGGCTAATATTTCCTTCGTTAAATCATAACTGGTTTCCAAGTAACATGATTTTTACATTGACGATGTGCCGTAATGTTAATGTTAGCCACTTGTATCTGCTGTGACTGTTGATTTTGAAGTCACAATGCAAGAGGTATGTAGTAATATAGCTTGATTAAAATGCTTAATACTGCATTGGTATTTTACAGGCGTAAGGTCACTTTTTTCACTTTTGTCTTTTGGCGTTTATGGTCTTTTGAAGACTATGGTTGGAATCATTTATGTAACATCCGTGACAGCGGTACTGTCCAGGTCTGCAACTACCAAATGTCACATGGGGATTCTGGCATGTTCACCTACAATGTACACCCAGTTCACCACAGGCGACTGAACGACATTTCTATGGCAACATGGGAGATGTATTACTGTGCATCGCCGAGGGGATGACCTACGACCCTTGTCAAAAGCAGAACGTCTCATTCTTGTTCGCCTAACAATCAAATCCACATCGTGAGAAACCAGTACCCACCTGCAACCCTATCGGGAAAACAGGGATTTCGGTTGTGTCATCAGACATGCCCTGAAAGTGTCAAGCATGGATCTGTCTTTGGGCAATGACGGCTTTGACAACACCATGAAATTGGAAATGTCTGGTCTAATAAGGTCAAAGTGAAGGGAATGGAGCCATTAATCTAGGTTAGGTTCTCACAGCCAACAGGTAAACATGTACATGTACATGTAGGCCTATGTAGGCCATCTTTTGTGACAGCATCCCCAACCTACTTTTCTTTTCAAAATGGAGAAATGTGCTGTTCAATTATGGGAAGAGGTACTTACTTTTCTCCTTTTTTTCAAGTGGGATGAAAGGATGTTGGGAAAGGGGAGCCCTGGTCAACATGAGGAACAGAGATATAAACACGTTTTGAAGTTAAAGCTGAGACACCTGTCTCCAAGTTTCAGGTCCTTGTTAGTGGCTAAAAAGTGTGTCTTATTATTTCTTCTTCTTAAAGCAAATTTATTCGGTGTGATTGGTGGAATCAATCGCAACAGCAAGGCATCATGTTTTATGAAATACATGTATTACATGGACTGCATTTACAGCATTCACTGGACATGTGTTGCACATGCACAAACATTGTACAACTTGAAGTGCTACGTGTAATGTTGCACAGTGCTTGCAGAAGTCAGTTTTTGTGAAAATTGAAATTTGTTTTTTTTTTTGCCAAAAAGAACAACGAACAAATAAAAATGTTCTTAAGGGATTAACTGAGACCCTTGATGCATCCTAAAAGGATGAAAAAACGCCCCCATTTTTTGGCGTTTTTGTTTGTAATTCTTTAAAAATATTTTATTAAAATTGACGATATGAACAGCACATACTTTTGCAAATTGTTATTTGTTTTTTACATTTCACTAATAAAAAAAACCCAACGCTATTTCTTCCTGCTGTTTCATTTTCACTGACAGCTATTGACAAAAAAATTGCAAAACATGGATATCTTTAAGCCACTGTATGCAGACTTCGTGTCTACATACAGGTACTCAGCAAACACTGAATGTTTCATGACATGTCTGTTCTGCTTGGCGACGGTGAGGGATGGACATTCAAAGGATAGTGAATATTGTTGACATTTTCATCCGGAATCGTCAAGAGCCAGGGGCCGGGGGGGGGGGGGGGGGGGTGTTGTTGAAGAGGGGCCACAGGGTGGATTCTATTACCCGAGAATCATTACAAATTATGTGCATATGTAGGGAGGATAGCCTCGCCGAGAGGAATTGAAGTTACATTTCAACAAAACATGGGATTTTTTCTTTGATAAAAATGGAAAACACAAACCAGAAATGCACTTAGATATTTGTAAAATTTTGTCCATTAATGTTGAAATGCTGTTTGTTGTTTCTTTTAGGTATCACACCCAAATTGTTGGTTTTACACGTTTTTTTTGCATTTTTGCACACGTAGATAAACAAACAGAAATTAATTTATCGTGAAATTTTGAAATCGGATGTCTTTGTATTTCAACAGATTGCTATTTTTTTTTTTTAAATAAGTAAAATCCCACGTACCGTACATATACACAGCAAATTCTTGTGTTATTTTGTCAATAAATTTTAAACCACTTTCAAGTTTCTCCAACAATCACACTCCCACTTATTGGTTGTACATATTAACAGCACACGTGAATAAACAAACTAAAAATTTATCACAAGGGATATCAGTTGGCTTATACCCAGCAGTTCCAATACTATCACAATATTGATTCAATGCATATAGGACAGTGCCCCTGCCACTGTGCAGTTATCTCATGCAAATTCTGTTGGCACTTTTCTGACCACACATGTACAGGTAGCATCCAAACTTATCATGTGCGGTTTGGTACACGCTTTATGCCACGGACAATAATGCAGGGATAAAACCTCAACCACAGAGTACAGAGATCAAAAAGCTTCATTCATATACAATTTTCAGTTATTAACCTTCATATGCATGCATGGATTGTATGTGTACGTGGAAAACTAAATAGCTATTGGCAAAATGGACAGTCTTTTGATTAGCAGAATTTTTTGTCGTGCTACTTAGAAACCCACATTTTTACCTTCAATAAAACTGTGGGCGGTGAACTAAAGTGGCCATCAATTCCAAAGACGCACACAAAGCGTTAAATGGAATCCACTTCCTGCTCCAAAGTGAAAGTGTCAAAGATGAACGAATCCTTATTGTCCCTTCTCCTGGAATGTGATGTGGGATTGTAAAGCGACTGTCACTTCTTTTGTCAGATCAACGACATTTTCCAAATTGCAGTTGGGTCATCTCTAAATGGACCCTTCCCAGAAGTCCTTGGGGAGAGCGGAGTCCGAGACAATGACTCAGGCTTCTTTGTTCCTGATGGCTTTATACAGGTGTATTGAACACCAGACACATTATACACGTGCAATTGTGTACAAGTACATGTACATGTACATGTGCATTTGTACATGTGCAGTGTTCTTCTGTACCTGCTCGTGTGCATACATGTATGCAAGTACATGTACGTTATTATACGTAAATGTACCGTACATGTATGTTGGCCTAATTTTTCACTCGAATTTACACCCACCCCGCATTATTGCGAAGCTCAGTCTCTGCTTAGAATTTGAATGTTCTGTACGGCGTAATAAAAAAAATGTGTGAATATGGTGCCTACATCATATGGTGGAGCCATAAGAATATTTTTGCAGATGTACATTTTTGTACATGTACACAATCACATGCTCATGTTCATTTGTAAGTAACTATGTGTAGCCTACATGTACATGAGCACATAGGGGTAATAACGTACAGTGACACATTGACATTTTCAGACTGTTAACTAAACAAACAATGGATTTTCTCAGTATTTTTTTTTTACTGTAAATCATTCAAAATTAAAATTATTACTGAAATTTCCAGTGTGCATTAGAGAAGTTTTCTAACTGTTTGTGCTTGTTCATTTTGTCTCCACAGATTTTGTGTCTAATTTTCCTTTTTTGAATGTATAGTCTCCAGTGACATAAACTGTAGCAAAGCCTGTCTCTCACCGTCGGAAATTAAGACTGAGCCAGTTATGTAACATTCTACGCATGAGTCATGACCTTATGATAAATATACACCGATGCGGGTACCAGCAATTATGTGTATATTCGTCTCAAGTATCATATCTGAGGGGTTCAACATTTTGTGTCATTGCCCTACAAAGGACATATATTTGAATTTTAATTATAAAACCTACTTAATAACTTCATAATTTCAACAAGTACCGGGTAATTTGTACACTAAATTTTTCATTCACCAATATAAGAGGCGTTAC